GGGATAAACTTTTCCAAAACTGATTGATTGGCAACAATTTGCTGTATTTTCTTACAACCGGTTATGTGGTACTGAATGGACGGACATTTGATAGCCTTCGAGCGCTCTAATAGAAGTCTCACATTCCAGTCCTCTTCTCCCCCATAGTTTTCGGGCGCATAAGCCGTCCGATAGTAAACGACCGCCACTTCGTGTTTACCGTCAACTATAAGCTCTCTATTATTATTAAGTCTCGCCGTTTCCCTTAAATCCTCAAAACTTCTTCTAATTATCTTAATATCTGGTCTCGACTTCGAAACCGTAAACTCAATAAGTCTTTGATCAAAAATATTGACAACTTGTGACTCAACCACAACCATAAGGACAGCATTTGAGTGGTTATAGGCATTAAAAGCTCGAATAAGTCCGTCGGCCATCAGTTCGGGAGATCTATTCTCAGGCAATCTGTTGTCCAAGTCTTGGATATCAGTATATTTCGAGAGAATATGTTTGTGGACTCGTCTGACAGCGGGCGCCAAACCAGCAAAACTGGACGATATGTTGTTAACCTCCACTTGTTTCATGTTATACCCGTCGCCGCATTCATTCATCATATAATCGGCTCTAAAAAGTCCTAAACTAGTGTTTTGGGCCAACCCTTCCTTCAAGACATTACTATATATGTTGAAGAGTTTTGCGGTAAAATCGTCCACTTCTATGGTTTTCTGTAGCGATTCACTCAAGAATTGGTGATTGTATGCAATCTTATGGGAGACCTCATTGATTAAAGGCTGCAATCGTTTCCCAAACTCAAAGTTTTTGCGCGAAAAAGTGGACGGAAATAGTGTTAACGGCGCCAGAGTTATGGTATCCGAAGGGTTTGACACCAATTTGAACGCAATTCCTGTCAATTATTTAATTTAAATACATTTTTCAAATCTATCACTAATTAAATGCTAGTTTTATCAACTTTTCTAACCCTAAAAGCAACTCTATACTATTAGAATATAACCTTGGTATAATGTCAACATTACCATGGTCAATTAGATCAATGAATTGACACTAAAATTATTGCCATTTCATTGTATTTGTGATTTTGTTAACATTAAAATTAATAACTATTTCACAATCATTACAATGAAGTGTGTATTGAAAATCAATGTTTGATACCTTGAGATAATGCATAGTCTTTGGCCTCCCTTTCCATAGACACCAATTGATCATTAGTTATAGCGTTCAACACATTTGATAACAAATCCATCGCTTATTAAATCGTTTAACTATTTCACCAAATCTTGCGCTCAATTAACGCGTTATTAAGACAATTAAAGCCAAAACTAAAGACAATTTAAAACAAATGGTTAGCTATTGAATGAACGGCGAGGATAGGGATTGAGAGCTCATATTTGTAGTGATTTTTAAGTATAAATTAAGTGTATTTTAAAATGCAATCAAAAAGTGATTAAAACTATTGATTCAATAAATCATATGATAAACCAATTTATCAAAACCTAAGGCTTTACTAATACTGTTATCTCAAGTACTGAGAGGTTATCTGCAGTCAAAACTTTCGTCCCTTTCATGAGATATCCGTACCTTTAATGCAGTCAACTATAGGGCCATAAAGTGATGATAATATCACATCAATTGGTCCGCAGTTTAAATGGTAGTCAATAAACAAATGCTTATTTAAAAGTCTGACAAAACATGTGATTCAATGCAACCAAACATTACTCAAAAAAGTCTTATAATTTTCTGCCCAAACATTACGTCAAAAGTGTTTGTTTGACGAAAGCGTTGAAAGCAATGGCAGAACAAAGAGCCCCGGAATAGGCATTCGTTGCCGTAATTTATATCCATTTCTGTTTGCCTTCAATAGTGTTGTAAAAGTTGAGGCATTTTTAGCGCCAAAACTCATGTCTCACTTGTTTTGGACACAAAGACATGTGAATTGGGTTTAAATGTCCACTCATTTCGTATCAAAACATGTTTTTATTGTTTTGATGTTTTAAACCAATTATTTTTAACAAAACATATTTTACACACATTTTTGACGACAACTGCTGTGAAAGTGATGTCAAATCAGACAAAAGTCACCGATTTTTTCGCCACTCAGAAGCGGAGCGACAATCAGTTGAGATATCAACTATAGGGCCATAAAGTGATGATAATATCACATCAATTGGTCCGCAGTTTAAATGGTAGTCAATAAACAAATGCTTATTTAAAAGTCTGACAAAACATGTGATTCAATGCAACCAAACATTACCCAAAAAGTCCTTTAATTTTGTGCCAAACATTACGTCAAAAGTATTTATTTGACGAAAGCGTTGAAAGCAATGGCAGAACAAAGAGCCCCGGAATAGGCATTCGTTGCCGTAATTTATATCCATTTCTTAATGGCTTTAATAGTGTTGTAAAAGTTGAGGCATTTTTAGCGCCAAAACTCATGTCTCACTTGTTTTGGACACAAAGACATGTGAATTGGGTTTAAATGTCCACTCATTTCGTCTCAAAACATGTTTTTATTGTTTTGATGTTTTAAAGCAATTATTTTTAACAAAACATATTTTACACACATTTTTGACGACAACTGCTGTGAAAGTGATGTCAAATCAGACAAAAGTCACCGATTTTTTCGCCACTCAGAAGCGGAGCGACAATCAGTTGAGAT